AGCTTTGATCCTACGCCTAGGACATCAAGTGACCAGCTCAGCTACTGGATCATGGCAGCTTATGTTTGGTTGCATCTTAGAGGTTGATGACCGACCTTGAAAATGATCTATATTTCTTGAATCAATGGTCTAAGGACGGGGTTTTATGTTAATACATGCTCATCATCAAGCAAATTACATGGGTGTTTGGTATTGGTGCCAACAACTTTCCCGACTAGAGTCAAAATTGTCTTTAATTGATGGGGCTGATTGACGTTGAATACACAGCCTAGCGATCTTCAAATGAATCGAAATTCTTAAGGCTGCATTTTATTGCAATTCAAATTTAATTAGTTGTACTAATGCAAAACCATGGTAATGCAAATGATTTAGGTGTAAATTAATTTTATTTTATTTTTGTTTAAAATTTTACCTTACTCTGTTTGATTGCAGTACTGATGAATTAAAATAAGACCTGAAGTAGAATAAAATAAAAATTGATGTTGGCGCTTTAGGCAGGTCTTTGGTGCATTGATACGTGGCCGAGCTCAGAGCCTGTCAACACGTTGTATAGGGTAGAGATCAGCATCCAGCGTGGGACCAATGGTGCGACCACACGTGGCGATTCTCGGATGCCCACCCACCTAGGGCTAAGATCGCATCCTGATCGTCTGCAGCGTCCGCCATCAGGCGACCTCAAGTATAAATAGGGCGACATTCCCCCAAGGTAAGAAACCCCGGTCCGGAATTTGCATTCCCAGTTCTAGCTCTCTAGTTCCTGGACGATCTCATCTGAACCCCTCAGACCTCGTCCGCCCTCTTTGCTCCACCCTACTAACTTGATCACCGGAGTCCCCTTCCCGAGGCCTCTGATGTCCCCTTTCTTCATAGGCACTAGTCCTCGGCCTCGGCACTTCTCGGATCCCGTTGGTCTTCGGCCAGAATCCACCTACCCTCGGCCGCAATATACCTTGGTTACATGCCTTCGTCCTCAACAATTCTCAGATCCTTCTAGTCAATTCATCCAAGAGACAAGACAAATTTACTGTATTGTCCTCAACCCATTCTGAGCCTCAACAAAATTAAACCATGATTTATATTATTTTCATTTGCACTCTCTTACATTTATATTAATGCAAAAATTGCACTGCAAGCAAACTCCAAACACAGCCTAAATTGCAAATCCCATGGCGTTATATATTGGGTCCAACATAGACCTGCTTCATTGTTTTATTTTTTTCAAAGACAATTTTTATACTTTAATGCTTAAACGATATGGGCAGAATAAAGAAACCCCTTCTTCAAAGCAATGGTCTAGTCTTGGCTGAGGAATTAATTAGAAAAATGGTGAGGTCGAGATCACATGCAAGTTCCAAGTCATTTGTCTGAAGAAAATTAAAGTTGAAAATGATCATATATATGATAGTTTGGAATTAATTGTGCTTTCTCGAAGATTTGAAGGCGGAACGGAAAGCGTCAAAAGCCGATTGACGTAAGCTGGAACTTAATTTCATTTAGTCCTGCCAAAATGGAAGCTTCCTCTCTCCTATACTTTCCGCATGGTGGTAGGCCGTCTAATCACACAACCATGCGTTAATTAGCAGTCTAATTGATCAGTATTAACCTTCTTAATTATTCTTGAATCAACTGGTAAAAGAGTGCAGTAAAGCATATAAAATTGTAGTTTAGGCTTCGGCTTTGAATGGGTCTCTTATTCGTTGCACATTTTATTCAAGTTGGTATTGGTATATATAGTTTTATACTTCTACAAAAGGGAACCGGAAAAGCTAGCGTGTGAGGACCGTAGTTTGACATGAAATTAAATAAATTTCAGTCGGAAAAAGACCTGATAAACTATAAATTACGTTTGAAAAGAAAATTGGAAAATGACTGGATTACCTCGCCCATCGCTGCTATTTATAATTAATAAATCATAGTTAATTTACCCCTTTTGAATGTCTTGTTTGGATTAGCGTACAATAATTCACTTCTTCTTTCTTCTTTGGATTGATCAATTTTACTTCAGGATGAGTGTAGGTGTCGATGGACCAAATTTGGATTGAAATCTATTCGAATAAAAATCAATTAAATGGATTGGACAGGCCGATAAGACAGTGAATTAATTAAATCAGTCCAGAGTATTTATTGGATAGGACCTAATCCATTTGTGATGGATTTATAATAGACTGAGACAGATTGAGCCAATATCTGGTCCTTTGACATAAGAGTATAGATATCAATGGACCAGATTTCGTTTGAACCCTATCTAAATTAAAACAAATTTGAATAATTTAGACGGCCTAAACATTGAATTGGACCAATTCAGAATGATTCAAAATATTTATTGGATTGAATTGGACCTGATCCATTTGTAATTGATTGATACTGAACCAGATCAATTGTACCAATTTTCAGTACATTGACAGCCCTAATTGGAGAGACATTTATCTATCTTTAGGCTTCAATAATACTGTATTTGGTTTGAAGGAAAAAATAGGGAAAGAAAGGAAAATGTAAAGAAATATTTACAAACCTTGTATGAATTTTCTTACGTTTTTCATCCTTTCCCTACCTTTTCTTTCAAACCAAACATAGCCTACGGTTCATGGATCAATTCGTTCAAATTTCGCTTCCAATCCCGACGATTTCTTGCTATATCATGTTTGTTAGCAGATATCAGTGCTGACTCCATTAGTAGCGCATAGATCACATTACTGTCAATGACATATAGCTGCTGTGAGTGGTACTGCAGTTGCCACTTGCCGCAGGACACAAGTAATGGGGTTTGTGAAGATCCCTATGAGGATTAGCAATTCATTTTGGGTTGGCTGAAAATAAAAGAAATTAAAAACTGCATATCAGTCTAAATAATTAATGCATTTAAAGAAGAAAAATGAGATAGGTATCCTGTAATTTGGGGTTGTGACAGATAGGTATCTAAATTTTCAATTACAGTTTCCTGAACTTTCAAAAATAGATATATAGGTCCATCTATTAGTATCCATCAGTTAAACATTACATAATGCCAAAAATACCCTAATCATGTATTTCTTAGATCATTCTCAGGTAATCGAGTGTTTCACATGGACAGCAAATAATACATTCAAATTTTTCAACAACGGCATTCTCTAGTGGTGATTTTACTAAGTAGAATGATATCAAAAATACATGAGAAGGGTATTTTTTATATTATGCAATGTTTAACTCACGGAATACTAACAGATGGACCCAAGTGTCTATTTTTAAGAGTTCAAGGTACTCAAGTGTTGCAATAGAAAATTCAAGGTACTTAGAGTACAAATTTGCACCAAATAAGTTCACTTTTGCTCCATCCATGAAAACTCTAGCATTCTTCCTTCTTCTGAGTGATGGGAGATATAAAAAAGCTAATTAGTAGTTTATCTTTACAATCCAAATAACCAATGCATTGTGTTCTATACCTAAATATAGGAATGGAAATTTCTACCCTACCTGTCAGGTACATGTGCTTACCCACCCCGATAGGGTGCTTTTTTGTTTTTTTCCTTTTTGCTTTAAAGACAGATTTTGGGGTAGGGATGGGTTTTGAGATTTTATAAACTGTAAATCCGTAAAGGTAAGGGAAGGCCATGGTATTAAGTATTGAATTTAATAATATTTTGAACTTTATGTGAAAGATAATTGATAATTTGTACTTTCTACATATTTTGATGAAATAATTGAAATTTTTGATGTTTGTTCATATTGTTTTACTAGATTATTGCTTATGCATACCAAGAAATTAGATGTGGATTTTAGATTCAAGCCACCAATCTGGCTTGCCCTATTCTTGAATACATAAAGGATAGGGTCAAGAAGGGTTTTTCATTTTCATGTGCAAAGAGGGTTTAGATTTCCAATATCCAACCCTCTATGTATTTTGAGTAAGGTGAGGATTGAAAAGTCTAAAGAGACATGTAAAATTTAGAATCTACAAAACCCTCTCCCAAATCCACCCCTACCATCCTTACCTAAACATTAGGAAAGAGACTTTAACATATACTCAAATTACCATACCCTATTTTACCAAGAGAAAAAAAATCAATTCCAATTATCCCTAAGTGAAATAAGGAAACGGATCATGTGATATTTTGAATTTCAACGAATTGCTGATCGTCTGAATTTAATCAGAGGGTTTCATCAAGAAAGCATTGCCATATCAACATGTATGAATTGACATAATGACCAAAGTTGGTTGTGTCATTTGTGTTGAGTTTTCTTTCCATGCTTTTTTTTCTAGTTCTTTATATTCCCATAAAAGGGAAGAACACCGTGATGGTTGAATGAATTTATAAGTGTACCTTTATCCAATATTGTTGAATTTTGAGCTGCAAAGTTCCTTATACTTATTTAATTTATTTTGACAAGTTCCGCGCATGTACTGTCGGCCCTTGTAAATTGACTTGGACTACCGAATATCTCTTCCCTTCTCTTGGGTCGTCTGAATTAATGTGAAGACAAGATTATGCTTAACTTCTTAGAATATTGAATTAATGTGAAATTCTTTTAGGTTGTGTTTGGTTTTAAGAAAAAAAATATATAACGAAAGAAAAGGTATAGTCTAAACCAATCCCTTCCTTTTCTTACCTTTACTTTCAAACAAAACATAGCCTTAACAATTTAACTTTCCCTCATTTCTCTCTCTAAAAACAAATAAATCCTCACGTATATGGAGGCAGAAAGGATAATCCAAGTGTTTTACTTTTTCCACAGGACGCCCCACAACGACCTCACAAGCACCCCACCATGCATTGAAAACATCTTCTATAAATAATGACACATAAATACGAGAAATGTCTTCAATGCACGTGATGCCTGTGAGGCCGATGTGAGGCGCCAAATGTAGAGCAGATCTGGTCTCTAAAGATTTAAGAAAACGTCGATGTGGAATGTCGTCCAATGGATTAATTCCAAAAAAGAAAAGACTTTCAGCCTTCTGTTAATTCGTTACCTAAAATCTTAATCAGTCGTTTGGACTTGAAAAGCCCAAGTCGCTTGCCATTAAATACATCCCAGTTAAAACCCCTAAATACAATAAGAAGAAGAAGCATCTCATCCTCCTCTTCTATCGCACTTCTCTCTTTCTCATCCAACTGTCTCTTTCTGTGTAGCTATTAGAGATGGCTTCCTCCTCCGCTCCTATCGTGTTTCTTGCAATCGTTGTCTTCATTGTCCAACCCATAACTGCATGGAACGATGCTTTATCTCCACTGTTTTCTCCCGTTTCGGGTACTTATATCTCTCTGGTCTTCATGCAGTTTCATCATCTAGGTTTTCATTCTTGAACTGACTAAGCTATTTTTTTTTTTTTCAATTTGGGTCGTTTTAACTGTACAGAGGAGATATGCAAAGAAGTGAATTGCGGGAAGGGGACTTGCAAGCCCTGGAGTAACGCTATCGGATACACCTGTGAATGCGATGCAGGTTGGAAACGAACCCGTTTCGACAACGAGACTGAAGATTATTTCAAATATCTACCCTGCGTGATTCCCAAATGTGAGTAGCTCTAAAACTTTTTCCTTCTTCGTTCAACTTTATAGTTCGCTCGAGTGCCAGTTCCTACTATAATTCAGTTCTTAGATGAGTTATGTTTCTTATCTGAAAACGATAGAATTTTTTAATCGGTGAAAGAAATTCTGCAGGAGTTGTTAACTTTCTTACTTTATGTAAAAGGAGGTAATTTCAAGACATGTAACTAGCTAAAACCAAACGAAGGCTCTCCCAGAAATAGTTGATGAGGTTTGAGGGTATCATGGTCGATCAATCCCCGGTTCTTGAAAGTAGATATGCTTTTCGGTTTTCACAACAGATTAATAATATGGAATGAATAGCTACCAATACCATAGTGCTAAAAGGCGTAAGAGTTACATTCACTGTAGAGGCAGCCGTTTTCCATTCAGGAGCCAATTACAACACATCGGTTCCTTCCTTTTGCTTGTATCGTGGCCGGGTGGCCGTGTCCTGAAGGTGGCATATATGGAAGAAAATGCAGGCCAGGGGTTACCTTAATTCATTTCTAATAGGTTAATTATAATCCTTCCCATCAAATAGGCTAGAATTCAAGGTTTTGTTTCACTTATTCCACTGACGACTGACGTGACATAACTGGTATCTCAGCCCTCCACGTGGCAATAACATCTAACTAGATGCCGTTATCATACCTTTGCATTATCGGTCATTCTCCCTTTTTTAAATGGTTGAAATCATATTGATAAGACGTACTAATCACATGTCTTATCTCATCATGTTGGATTCTTATTACGGAAAAGTAATCAGAATTCTGAATTCCAGCCCCCCCCTACTCCTAGCCCTCTCACCCCTATAAACTACCTGCCCGTGAATTTGGCATCAATTCACGGTCAAGATATCTTCTTATTATGGTTCAGAGTTCAGACGAGCCTAGCACCTTTCGCCCTTACCTCATCAATATACAACCGAACACGAAAAGCTGCGAATCAATCCATTTCCTCAATTTCTCATGTCAAAGTTGTTTTTTTTTTTTTTCTCTATTTTCATTTTGTGGAATTTCGTTCTTTCTCTGTTACAATAATAATTTTCTCTCTCCATTTCTTTATTTCTTTGCTGTGTTTGGTTTGAAGGAAAAAAGTAGAGAAAGGAAGAGAAAAATGAGAAAACCTTTACATACATTATATATAACTTTCCCTGCCTTTTCCTTCAAACCAAACATAACCTTAATTTATATGGTGAGAATAAAAAAGTAAATTGAAGACTGATTTGCCAATGTATTAGGTAGGGTATTAATGTGGTCTAATACTTGAAATTGTTGCAGGCACGTTGGACTACTCCTGCTCATCAGCACCTCCTCCTCTTCCAGACAAAGAAGTTCCACATAACTCATCCTTTTGGGACCGTAATCACCTACCTATATAATAACCTTATTATTACTATTGCTATTTTTTTCTTTTGCCACGATTATCCCAATTGTTATATTAGATCATTTTAATTTAATTACCAATACCATCCATACTTGGTCTTTGTAGCGTGCTATTGGGCTTACTGTGGAGAAGGTACATGCGTAGAGAAGTCCAACCACGTTCATGTATGTGACTGCAAGGAGGGTTTTTATAACCTTCTCAACGTCTCCGTCTACCCTTGCTTCAGCGAATGTATGTTCGTTCACCATCATCCATCCTTCCTGTTAATTAATGCAACTTAGGCATTGCCGGGCTGGTTAATGGTTGGTAGTCCAGCCCACACCCAAAGCTCAGCCTATTTCAGGTTGGGCTTGGCCCAAGTTGCACCTCTGCTGTTTTACTTACCATGATATTATTATTAAACTGCATGCAAAAGTAAAGATAAAGGCCAAGCCCAGTAGCTAATAATAATATTGTGAGAATTACCATTTACCAGGCACGTTGGGAGCGGATTGTGAAAGTCTGGGAATCTCGGTATCCAATAAATCAGCCAGCCAAACCCCGGGTACATCTGTTAACTTGTCCGACAATGGAGCTCATGGTAGGGATCATAATCATTCCTCACATTTTCTTTTTCTTCTCACTGTATGTAGAGCGACCAAATATATTCAAGTTGTTGATTTGATGGATTTCCTTTAATTTGCTTTATTTTTCTTTTCCCACCTTCAAGGTACCTCCGGTCTGCCTGGGAGCTTCAATTGGTTGATGGTTTTGATGATATCTTTGGCCATGATTTTCTGGAAATAGAAGTAGAAGAACCATCTTGGCATCTTCCCTCTCCGCTCTCGTCTTATTACTACCTACATCACATTTCATTTTTGTATGGCGTCATTACTTGTCCATTAGATCAGATTCTATTGTAAAATAAATAAACCATGTTTAGATGCCAGAGACTCTTATAGTCTTGTATTTACATAGAATTGGCTGTATAATAAATGTCACCGCTGTATTGGAGTGATTAATTTTGATTTATTTATTTATTTGAATCTGGGACTGTTTTTGGGTAATTCTTCACTTTGCCAATTTAACCATCTGTATAAGAAAATAAAGACCTAATCAGGCTATACTTGTTGCATGGTCTCAAGAGATGTTCAGACTTCAGAGTGTCTCATGGGCTATGGCCATTCAAATGTCGTGTAACAAGATAAAATGAAATAAAGCAAACCTTGAATAGGTTGAATCAAATCAGTATACTCAGACTAGCCATATAGTACTTTTCCTATCAATAATCCATATGTAATTAAACACTAACAGATGAGAATGCATCCATTTTTCTTTCTCATCAGTAAGAAAAGATTAGACTTGGCTGGACAATACTGACCACTCTTTTGATTATTTTGAAAAGAGAAAAATTTACTACAAGGAAAGAAGAAAAGAAGATTCTTGTAAACACTGTTCACATCTTAGACCATGATTCTAGGAAGTTTGGCTTCAATCTCTTATTTCTCCAATAACCGCTACTTCGAGAAAAGCATGGAGGAGAGATAATTGAAAAGACTCTGCTGGTTTTATCATCAAGAGAAAACCAGCCACATTTAAGGCCGAAGGTCAATCAATGATTAGTTGCAATAGATTCAACCCACCATTCCTTAGGATTCCACCTATCTGGAGGAGAGCAAAAATTCCACAAATTAACCAAACATCTGCCCACGTTCATACAAAGGAGTACACATGGATCAGATTCCTTGTATGAAATGATGATCCTTCATCTTCATACCATTCACTACTTCTCATACTCGATCTGTTTTCCAATCTTGTAGGCTCATAATTATTGTATAATTGGGAAAGCTCTGTCAAACTGAAACCTTTGGAGAGGTAAGTTTCAATTTTACATATCTATTGATTCTGCTTATTCACTTTAAATTGTTTCAGTTTTATATTTGAACTGCAACTTCTGGGAAAAGAATATCCCATTAACTGTAAGAAGTGAAAAAAAAATTGGACAATTTTCTGATCTAATGTGCATTTATGTGTATACCCATTTTAGATTTCCACTTGGTTCATCATTCTAGGTTTTCATTCTAGAGGATGTATATGATTTCATATATCTTGCAATTCCACGAAAAGCTCAGTTTCATACAACATAAGTTAAAGATCCTTGCATGTTGATGCCTATCCTTTAGCTGAAGTTGAGGATAAAGCTAAAGAAGAAAAACTTCAAGAGGGTGTAGGCCAAGAAAAAACAATAATTGTTGGAATTTTCAACACCCATGCTCAGCCTGAGGTTAATGATCAAGAACAAATAGAAGAGGAGTAAGTTAAAGAAATTCAGGTGCAAGATACAAATGTGTTGACTACTAATAAGAAAGTAAGTGACTTTACCTTTCAAGTTCAACTAGAACTAATTCAAGAATTACAACCTGACATAGCACAAGTTCCACCAACATCAAAAATGGAAGGAGCCCTAGAGTTTGTTGAAGAACCAATGATAGCAGAACACATAGAGATGGTGATTCCTAAGCTAGAGGTCGAAGGAAAGGTTCTAAATATTGCAGTTAAGAGTTTGGATAAACGAGGGGAAGATTCATCACAATGGTTGGTTGATGAATTAAGTGTTCAAAAAACTAATGTTATCGATGATTTAACACAGATGGTTAGGGAAGGCAATGTTTTAGAAATACATTTCTTTCAAGATCCTTTTCTAGTCCAAGAATGTAATTGTGGGAAGTCCTACTCCCTTTGTAATTGGGGCATATCAACATTTCATCATCAAGTTCTTCAAAACTCGAGGATGAGTTTTTTTCAACCGGGGGACAATGATGCAGGAGCTGAAGAGTCAAAATTGGACTTTTATGATATTTTATGTATTTTTGTATTTTTGGACGGTAGGGGTATTTTTGTCATTTTTGCAATTTTCTGTGGCGTCCAATGATAGGGTTTAAATTGTCTAGTTATAGTTTGTTTTTGTTTAAAATTTCAGAGTCATTGTATAAGTAGAATTAGAATTATTGAGTCTTCTTTGAATTGAAATAGGATATAACATCTTAGTTTGAGTCCTACTAGGATTATTGAGTCTACCAGCTTGACTCCTAAGACTATTATGAGTCTAACAGTTTGGTTCCTAAGATTATTATGAGTTTAGAGTCTATAAATATGTATGGACGTTTTACACAAAGGCAATGAATTATATTGAGTTTTCTTTAGCTTATGCTAGCTATGGTGAGTGATTCCCATGCTCTAGAGTGATTCTAGGCACCCTGTGAGTGATTCCAGGTATTTTCCCTCTTCTTTCTCTCCCTATTTTCTCTCTTATTCCTTCAAGAAGTCATTACAGCCATTGACAGCCATAAAACTCTGATCAAGAAGACCATTCAACATTCTCTAAGGATTAGAACTGAGCTGGTCCTACATCACCTACATTATAGCATTGGCTGAGACACATGGACTTTATAAGGTCAAATCCTCTTGGTTGTCCTAACCTCCACGAGAAGGTTTATAATCTCTGCTTTTGGAGCTTCTGCACCTCCAGTCAGAGCACTATACAACCAACGAATGTTGCCTAATAGATTTGTGAATACTGCATCTCTACCAGCCATGCCTGGGTTTCATTGTGCACAGCCATCAAAGTTCAATATGAGCTGACTGGCAACCCATGATCCCTCAATTGATGATGGTGTGAGGTCAGGGGTGGATTGTATATTCCTACGAGATTTCTTTCAAGAACAGAAAGTGTTTCGGTATAATTTTTTTTAATTTCTTTTTTCCATGGATCAGCCTCTTCAGCAATGTTCTACAGATGACATGGTTTACTAGAACAACAGCTTAAACTCCCAACATTTGTTGGCTTCCTGATAAGGCAATCACTAATGGTCTAAGGTCTAACAAATATTTTCTATATTAAATGTTGGGATGCGATTAAAGAAGATCTCCTGAAGGTCTTTCAGGATTTTCATTGCAATGCTTCCTTACAAAGAAGCCTTCATGCCACTTTTGTGACACTGATCCTGAAGATCGAGGGGGCCACAATTCTTAGGACTTTAGACCAATTAGTCTCCTAAACAGTTTCTACAAAATTTTAGCAAAAGTGTTGGCCGAAAGAATGAAATTAGTGTTGAGCAGTGTGATCTCATGCAATCAATGTGCTTTCGTCCCGGGGAGACAAATGCTTGATTCAATTTTGGTGGCCAATGAGCTCATAGACCCGAGACAAAGGGAAGGAAATCCGAGTCTGGTGTGTAAACTGGAAATAGAAAAGGTCTATGATCATGTTAATTGGAGATGTTTGGATCTAGTGCTAGGAAAAGTGAATTTTGGACAGAAGTGGAGAAATTGGATCAAAGTATGTATATCCTCACCCAAGTTCTCAATCCTAATTAATGGTCAATCGGCGGGATTTTTTTGAAAGTTCTAGAGGCCTAAGACAGGGAGATCCCCTCTCCTCCCTGCTCTTTATTTGCCTTATGGAGCTTCTCTCTCAATTCTCTCTTAAGGCGGCTGAAAATGGGCTTTGGGAGGGGTTTGAAATTGCTCCTCAAGCAGAAAAGGTTAGCATTCTATAGTTTGCTGATGATACTCTTTGTTTCCTTGATGCCTCAATTGATCAGTTGGAAATCTTGCTTGGGATCCTCTACTGGTTTGAGGTGGTCTCAGGGCTTAAAGTTAACTTGCATAAAAGCAAAATCATTCTAGTAGGGCAGGTCTTGAATTTGGAGGAGTGTGCAAGAGTTTGACTTGTCAGGTGGACTTCTTCCCTGTGAAGTACCTGGGACTTCCTCTTTGGGCGAAAGGCTCATCCTCTGCTATATGGGATCCAGTCATTGAGAAACTAGAGAGAAAATTATCTTCTTGGATGGCTAAATACCTTTTAGCCTAGGGGTAGAGTGACCCTCATAAAGAGCACTCTGTCCAATCTTCCTACCTACTTCCTGTCCCTATTTCCTATTCCAGCCAAAGTTGCCGAAAAAAATTGAAAGCCTGCAGAGAAACTTTCTGTGGAGGAGTTGGGAAGAAGAGAAGAAAATTCATCTAGTGGATTGGGACCAAGTATGCTTACCTAGAAAGGAAGGGGGTCAAGGAATTAGGAAGTTGAAGGTGATAAATACTGCCTTGCTTAGCAAGTGGTGCTGGAAATTTGCTGCTGAAAGAACATCTTGGTGGAGGAACTTAATTGCCTCCAAGCACGGGGTGGATTGGGGTAACTGGAAATCTGAAGACCCTCTCTCTAGTTGGGGCTGTTCAGTATGGAAAGGTATCCTAAAAAGTCAACCTGTTTTCCTGGAAGGTGTGGAGTTCAAAGTGGGTAGAGGTAACAGGGTTAAATTTTGGAGGGACCCCTGGTGTTTGAATAGCCCCTTGGCTGAAGCTTTTCCTCAGCTCTTTCAATGTGCTGCAGATCGAAAAGTTTCATTGGCTGATTCCTATATTTTATCCAACAGCTCAGTGACCTGGTGTCCACGGTTTAGGAGAGATCTGTTTGATAGGGAGCTAAATGAGGTAACGAATCTGCTGAATCTATTACAGGGCCAAAATATTGATATGCTTAGCGAGGACAAGTGGATATGGAAATGGAGTAAGGATGGCAACTTTTCAATCAAGTCCTTATCTTCTAAACTTAGCAGTTCTGGGCCTGTTATCTTTTCCTGTAAGTAAATCTAGAATGCAGTTTCTCCCTCTAAATCCAATTTTCTGGTTTGGACTATGGTGCTTAATAAGTGCCTATCAAAAGTCAGCTTGGAAAGGAGGGGTCTGCAGCTCTCAAACCTTGCTTGCGGGCTGTGTGGACTGATGCCAGAATGTACAGATCATCCAAGTATCCACTGCTCAATATCTTCTAGAGTATTGGAGCATTTTCTAAAGTCTGCTGGAGCTTGTTGGGTCATGCCGGGATCAGTCAAAGACCTCCTATTTAGCTGGAATCTGGCAGGCTTGAAGAAAAAATGAAGACTTGTTCAGAAAACAATTCCTGCAGCAATTCTTTGGTCTTTGTGGTCAGAAAGAAGCAATAGAGTTTTCTCAAACAAGTCAAAAAGTCCAGATGAGCTAGTACAGAAGTCGGTCAGCAAGCTGATCTCCTAGGTGTCGGTTACTGCTGAATTTAAGCACCTGAATGTAGCTGAGTTGTTTAGTTCTCAGTCCATTTGGAGTCTGTAATTTTAGTTGTTTTCCGGGATTCTTTTGGCCAGGGAACTGTTGTACTCTTGTTTCTTTGAAATAAAATCTTACCTTACCTTTTCAAAAAAAAAAAAGATTATATGCAAGGTTTCCTACTCTTTGTTCATTATATTAGAACAGAAAGGACATAGCCAGTACAGATTTGTATTTGAACCAGTATTGGTTGTCTACTTTCATAAGAGATGCAAATAGTCTTTCGGTTGGTTCAATCATTTGACTCATGGAACTGGCACTAACATGCCAATGATTAGTTTAGTCACAAGACCAATGTACCATTCTTCTTCTATATCCCAATTTCATACATCTAAAGACGTAGACAAATTCAATACAACACAAAATACTGCAAATTGATCAAGAATGCAATCTCTTCATCTCCAGGAAAATCATGTATCTGAAACAAATTCAATTATAATTAAACATCCACCACTAATTTTCCTCTGTTTTCCAGTTCTATTGGCTAGAAGATAAATTAATCATGGCCAATAAACTGGAAGTGTTACAACTTACAAAATATAAGGCATCTGATAAGGTACCAAAATTATCCAACTGCATGTTACACCCAGAAAAAAAATACAATTTTTCTAGAAAGAAGAAGTATATAAGAACAGAAATGAAGGAACAGGGATAACTTTGATTTCTGACCCACTTTGATGATCACTTGGTCTTCACGCTCACTCCTTCCTTCCCGGCAATGATAACTGAACTGGCCATGTCGAGAAATAGTCCATGTTCCACGACTCCTTCCAATGCTGAAATCTCCTTCCCTGCCGCTCCAGCATCCTTGATTGGAGTTTTGAAGTACAAATCCACAATATAATTCGAATTGTCGGTCACATAAGGTTTCCCATCTCCATCCAGTCTGAGCTTCGCCTCGCAACCCTCTTCCTTGAACAACTCCTGTAACCTTGTCAAGTTGTACTTCCAGCAAAACTGAACGACCTCAACCGGCATGGCAAGGCCACTCCCGCCAAGACCCGTCACCAATTTGGTATCATCGACCACGACCACGAACTTGGACGATGCCGCCTCCACCATCTTCTCTCTCAAAAGCGCCCCGCCACGTCCCTTTACCAAATTGAGATCTGGGTCAACCTCGTCGGCCCCGTCGATCGCAAGATCAAGACGTGGGTGGTCGTCGAGGACAGAAAGGGGAATACCCAGTGAGGCAGCTTGCTCGAAAGTGCGCTTCGATGTCGGTATGCCAACTATGTCCTTAAGTTGGCCTGTCTTGAGGAGTTCACCGATTTTGGCGACGACAAAGGCCGCGGTGGAGCCAGTGCCCAGGCCGAGGACCATGCCACTGCTAACGTACTCGACGGCCTTATCGGCAGCAAGCTTCTTGAGATCGTCTTGGGTGAGAGGGGGAGCAGGAGATGGAGAAGAAAAGGCTCTGATGTACATAGGCGTACGGGAAAGAGGGCGTATGGTAAGGGACGAGGGGGTGCGCAGGATAAGGCGGGCAGCATTGTTGTGGTGGAGTAAGGAAGAGGACGCGGAGGAGGATTTGAGGGAGGAAGAGGAGAGAAGGGATAAGGTGGCCATTGGGCGGGGAAGGATGGAGATCGAAGAGGAATAGCGAGAGAAAGAATGGGAGGTAGACTTTTGTTTTGTTCTTCAGCCTTTTTATACGGCACCTTTCGGGTTGTTGATGGGCTGTGTGTGATGAAGAAAGTAAGTTGAGTCTTGGGGCCGGTGCAGAGAGACGAAGATAGGTGGGGGGTTTTGTCGCAGTTGATGTCTAGTTGAGGTTTTTAGTTCAGTTCTCCCAGAGTTTCTACTCTGACTTAGAAGTAGATCGTCCGAGTTAACGAGTCACTCGCACTGGGTAGTGGGTAGTGGGTAGTGGGTAGTTGGTAGGTACTTTTTTTTTTTTTTTGGTACTTTTATCTTTATTTTTTTGGTAAATGAATCTCATAGGTATTGACTTTTTTTTGGGAGAATGACGGTTTAGCCCAGGTTCCCTTCAGTACAGTTGGGATGAGTGTGATGGGGCGGGCATTGGTGTATAGAATGGGGTTTTTGATATTTTGAATGTTTATAACTCTACAGTGGAAATCATAAATCTGCATTGGGTCTTATGGACTTCTCCTTTTTTTTTGGCTTCATGAGCTACAGCCTATCAGCCTACAGAACGAGGGTAGTCCATTCCCCTCCCTTAAACCCCTAACCCTCGATATGTTCTTCACGCATCATGCCTTACATCGTATGTTTTTTTTTTTGTTTTTTTTAAATGAAACAAAATATACTACACACAACGGGGTAGTACATCCCCAAACATTGGCATAACAAATAAGAATAAGAGAAGAGGGAAGAGATGAAATGCTAAAATCTAGAGAAGAAAAATAAAGAGCCTCCCGAGCCAACCGATCAACTGCCTGATTTGCTTCCTTGAAAACATGTTGACAATGAAGATCTCCATCGAACGAATCTTTCAGCTTCTAAGGAATATCCACCTTTCTTTTGATGGAGGTGACAAGAGATGAATCTCCCTCTTTGATGATATGAAACTCCTTGTAGTTTGTAGCTTGGACATAGGCTTCCCATGCAACCTAAGCTTCAGCCTAATTGATGGAATAAGTACCAAGTTTATATGTTTTGATCGCTAGAACCTTACCAAGATGGTCTTGAATTATACAGGCCACTAGACATTTTCCATCACTATTGCAAGAGGCATCAAATTTATTTTAATATAACTATATTTTGAAGCATCCAACTAATTTGTTTCCAAAACTTGTGAGATGTGGTAGAGGTACTAAATTTATTCCTATCAAAAGTTTCCATAAACATATTTAAAGCTCTGTCTAACATTATTGGAATGGGAGTAGTACCATCATTAAAAGTTTTGGAGTTCCTATTTTTCCAAACCACCAATAGAACAAAAGCTACTTTTTCCTTTACGAATAGAATTTTGCTTTCCTTTTTAGTGCACATTCTTATCCATCAATCACTTAGATTTTCATTTTCATTTGGGCCCTCAAATGGTGTGTTTAAAGTAAGCCAAACTTGCTTTGTGTGACTACAAATTTTAAAAATATGCTCAGTATCTTCTTCAAACCCACAAAAACTGCAAGAGCCATTAATATTAAATCCTCTTTTCCTCAAATGGCTTTTAATAGGCAGTCTATTATTTAACATAAAAATAGAAATAATTTAATATTTTGGAGGGCATTTCAAGTTCCAAATGCTATTCAACCAATTAAAGTTGCTAGGTGGATATGAAATAGATGAACATTTAAGTAAATAAGCTGATTTTATAAAGAAGGTCCCCTTAAGATTGCACCCCTAAACCCTTCTATCCTCCATGTAGTTAGGGGTAATATGAATAATTTTAATGTACTGTCAAACATTCTCAAAGACCTCATTTTTAATTTTGTATTCCTTCCAATAATTTATCTCAAAATCAATCATTTGTGCTGCTTTAATATTAATATTTATAATATTTTTATGATTCTAAGTTTCAATTAGAGGTTTGTCGTATACCCAATTATAATCTTCCATATTTGTATTTATTATTCATGTGTGAGATGTTCCGATTACGAGGGCGGTGTGAGGCGCGCCCTGATCCCAATTCGGTGGTAAAGGGACTTGATCCCAAGCCTCTACTTTGACGATTTTGAAATCCTACCAACTGACAACTGAGCCACCCTCGGGTTGGTGGTGGGTAGAATTCTCACACCGACCTCACAGGAACATCCTTTGAGGTTGGCTTTGTGTTTGACTTGACTTGGATCAGTTGTCTCATAGACCATAGAGATGGTCTATCACCAAAAGTATCAAAGAATCCGTCTCTCATTCGGCCTCGGTCCTACAATATTAATATTTCTTTGCCTCTCCATTAAAGGGAGAAAATTTAGGAAATCGTCTGCGTATTCGCCGAATCTCTGTTGGCGTGCTTGCGCGTGTGTCTTCCGCCATGTCTGTCGAATCCGCCACTGCAATACAAAGAAACCAAGTATGTCTACGTTAGAACCCTAATTACATTTAACATTTTCTTCTTTTTATTTTCGAGTTAACTGAAGATTTGATCGAACGTGAAACATGGATCAGGTTGATTTGCTCGATTTCGTAGACTGGTCTGGAGTCGAATGTCTCAATCAGAATTCTAGTCATTCTCTTGTTAACGCTCTGAAACAGGTGTTTTGTTGAAGAATGTTGAATTTAAGTTAATCTAATTTCGTTTTTTTTTTTCCCTTAGTCGGGTGGGCTTGGTTAGACGTTGTAATTAATCTTTGTTTTTGTTTTCATATTAGGGTTATAGAGAAGACGAGGGTCTGCATCTGGAGAGTGATGCAGACGAGCAACTTTTGATTTATATTCCTTTCACTCAAGTGATTAAGCTGCACTCCTTCCTCATGAAAGGTCCTGAAGATGAAGGTAACACTTAATTTCCCTCCCTCTACAGTCTAAACTGTTGTACTGATAGGTTATTTTAACTTAAGGCAGTTAGTCATGAATGTCAACATCTTTTATTGGTTACTTCCCGTTTCTGTAATGAAAAAGGTTTCATCGGTTTCATTTTCTTTTTCCTTCTCCGTTCCTCAACAGAATAGGTTGTTTTCACTTATTTGTTATAAATGGACAGAAGCGTATAGAGGGTTACAGCCTACAAATCTATGATGTTCTGACGCTATTAACTTGACTTTTGTATAATGTCTTCAAATGCGTTTGTTCTGACATAAATATATTTGGTATAATGGATAAATAATGTATTAGCATTGAAGCGGTTATACATTAATACTCAACTCAAAAAAGCTTTGTTTTAATTGCATAGGATCTGTTGTGAATTACTGATTAGACAAATTGTTCTGAAATTTGAGCTCAAAACAAGAATGGGAATTGATTCAATGAGGCCTCCTTATAACTTTTGAGTTGGAACTCACTTATCAGTTAACAGTTTCAGGAACCACATATTGGCAATTATGATTTGAAGAATCCAAAAAACATGTTGACTAACATGAAACAAGTTCGTGTTTTGGACCAAAGAACACTGATAACTTCATTCCATTGCCTTGGCAGAAAAGAAGGAGAAAAGGAGACAAGGGAAAAGAGAAACTCAAACCTGAAATTGGATTTTCTAATATATTAATACCAAAACTAAACCTTAATCTCATTTACTGAAAACGGCTACAATTTGTGGATATATACACAAGTTTTCATATTGCAACAAAGATGGATATAAAGTACATATATACACATGTATGTAGGTAGGCATGTATAAAGATGCCAGTGCTTGTGCACTGTGTATTTTTCCAAATTTAAATAAGTAATCACTTTGACAAGGCACAATTGAAACTGCTAATGACATACCTTCAGCTATATTTTATTTTAGAATTAAATAAAGGTATACAAGCTCACATGCAAGCACTGGAGCAAGAAAAAAAATAATCTGTTACTTTGAAAAATTTCTTATGTTCTTTTTTTAATGTTTTCTCATTGTTTTCCTATTTTTCTCTTCTTACCTTATCAAAATTTGATCACTTCCTGTTTTCCTCTCTTTCCATATCTAAATCTCCTCAAAATTTTCCTATGTCATTTAGATCCGTAACTATTGTTGAATTTTGTCTATATTTTGTATAGATTTAGATAAAATTTAAAACCTTGTCTGTAAATATGTATTAGATGTTCCTAAAAATCTCATACAAAGTTTCTCTAGCAGGTCCTAAAACAGTGAAGCTCTTTGCAAACAAGGAGCACATGGGCTTTAGGTAGTGTGAAGATGATTCTTGTTCCCAGTAGTAACTTTTCATTGAATCCTATTTAAATTTGTCACTGGAATTCTTATATTCTTGCTTTTTATGATCACTTATGCAGTAATGTCTCTGACTTTCCACCCAGTGACTCAGCTGTTCTATCCTTGGATAATCTTAAGGTACATGTACATCAACACATCCAGTCGTGGAAGCTCTCCAACAGAAAATAGTAGCTTATTTTTGTATATATGTTGCTTGGATGTATTTCATGTTAGAACTCGTGTTTAACGTTTGCAGGGAAAGCCATTTACAGTAAAATATGTCAAGTTTCAGAGTGTCCGTAGGTATGTAGAATCTATCTGTTTTTCTCTATTTGAGTTCTTTTTATGAAATATCCATAGGAAAATTAATTGATCTAGTTATGTTTACTTTGGATTAGTTTGACCATTTTTATTGAGGACAACCAATGTGGTGGTGATGTCACCAAAGTTCAGAAGATTGTTCTCTATGGAACAACGTAAGTAGTTCAGATCTTGTATTTAAGCTTGTTTTATTGTGCCTTCATTTCTTTGACTTGTATAGATACATTTTATTGCCTTTACTTATATAGTTAAGATTTTTTTTTTTTCTTTCAATCAGGCAAGATGTCACATTCATATTGGAAGGGATTTCTAAGTTTGATCACTATATTTAAGATATCTTGGAAATATCAACTCTGGTAGTGCATTTTCTGTAACTTATTTTCCCTAGTGGTATAATTAAGAAAACTTGTGCATTGTTCAGAAACCAAAAAGGTATACTATATAACTATTTTATTGGTAATATACACTATATAACTTATCTCTAAAGACTTAAATAATTCAAACGTTGATGGATCTCCAAGGTTATTTTCTAACTGAACTCTCTAGTGGCTATTCTAACATAAAAGTGCATTAATGCGAACTTTTTTTTATAGTAAAATAGGAATTTTATTAAAGTAAAATGACGATTCAACATCTGAAAGGTTGATGAGATAGAACCCAATAAAAGTCTACAATCAGTTCCCATAAGAGTACAGACTAAATATTACACCCCTGACAACAAGGAAAAGGAAAGGACACCAAACACATCCAAGTTACTACTAACTTGTCCTAGCTACTAAGGTTGACTTATCATCAGGCTTCACTACTTGTCAACCATTTCAGTTTTAGATTGAAATACTCCTTTTTTTTTTGATCAATAACACTTTCATTAATTCATCAATAAAAGATTTACAAAAGGAAGACAAACACGCTTATCTTCCAAGAGCAACAAAGAACCTCAAGAAAAGGAAAAAAAGAAAAAGAAAAGAAAGAAAGAAAGAAAACACACTACAGTTACAGCTTGGCCCAAAAAAGTGAGTCCCTTTCTGTTCCTTGTTTAGCTAAACCG